AATACCAATCTAGAAGCAAGTAGTATTTAAGTCACATTGTAATGCGAAACAGTCTTTGTAAGTGAATTTATAGTTTTATAAATTTTAAAGTCAATCAGCAAAAAAGTAGGAGAATTTTTGAACATATAGAAGAGTGTTTTTCTTAAGATCAATTTGACAAATAGAATTGTAATAATAGTGGGCCTTGGGTGGGAACACTTGTGGGAACTCCAGATGTGACATATATATATTTCTAAAAACGAGGATTTATATTATATAACATTCTGCGTTCTCCCAGTTAAAGTGAAACTATAGAACCAATTCAAGATGAAATGTACAATGATACAATTTCTTATCCAACACATGAAGTTAAAAGAATCGATGGTTTACGAGTTATCGAAGGCGTTTGGAAAAGTCTGTGATAAATTACATTCTAACTGTTTTTGTATATGCTAAGTTTCCAGTAATATAATGTTTGGATAGTCGTCAAGATTAGTACAGAGAGACCCTCCCTTTACGAAAACCATGTTGTTCTTCGATCAAAATTGAGATTATAAGAAAAATATTGACGTCAATTTAGTGTGTCTAATGCATGGAATTCCATCAATTTATAGGCAATTATATCACAAAATAGTATTAGAGATAGGTCTATTTAACTCTCAACGTTTACAACGTTACTTTTTTTCTGTAGACATTTGCGAGTACTAAAATAAACTAGGTTTATCGCACATCTTTGAGGGTTCCTTCATCGCAGAGATTTAGATAAATAAAAGAGTGTAGGATTGGGTAATCATATTCACATTACAATTTTTCAATATAAATAATGATGGAGTATACCATCAGGGCACAGGAGAAGTGTCTGTTTTCAATTCATATTCAATAGCCGTTAAAAACAATTACATTATGAGTATATATCAATAAAGCTAATATCAACCAGATTTATCGCTCTTGAGTTTGATATATACATAAATTATGTTGGAATATCGTCATTGGTTCTATACACAGTTTTCAAAAAATTAATAATGTGCGAATAAATCATACCAATTATGTTGAGGTGAATACCGCAGGTTTCATTCCGAAAAAACAGGAATTTAGGTAATAGATAGAGAATAGATATGAGGAATCTCTTACGCTAAATTTCATAATTGATTAGTCTGGACAGAAGGAGGATTTACTAAAGCAATTTTTTATATATTTATAAGTTATTCAAATTATTATTTATCCTACTTGCGTATATGATATTTACTATTGTGAACAGAGCTATGCTTAATAATGGGCCCAAAAACTGGCTCCAATAAATGTGCGTAAAACCCCGATTTGTGGTTTGTTAGTATATGCTTCTATAACTCTCTAGATAGGAAGTTATGATAGGTCGATTTATAATATCCCTGGCCAACTGTTTTAGGTGAGTGAAATGATGGGAAATGTGGGGAACACAACATCAAAAGTTCTCCAGGAAAATGCCAGGTAATTGAATATTAAAATGGCATCTTTGATTTTTCTTTTGCCCAAATTAGTCATTGCAATTATTCCGTTGTTCTTAAGTAAAAACTCTTGACAAAAATTTAAAACTCAAATAATCAAATCCCCCAAATCGATTCAGGCTTAGACAGATTTCACTGTACTTATTTACATACTAAAGAAATTCCAGCCGGTTTCCTCAATCAAAAGGCTATAAAACACAACCTGTTTTACGGGCAAAACAAATGGCATATACATTCTCCTGAATATGATGATAATTATTGTTGTGACAGTCGACAAATATATCAGTATTAGAATCCCAATACTCAATAAAATTATTCTCCAACTCTTATTGAATTGCATTGATGCCTTATTTTACATGTCGAAACTCAGGTCACGAGTTCCTGCTCTTCCGGCTGACCACACATATTTCACTACGCTCCTTTCACCCACTAGCACAGAAAGGAGGTATTTCTTGAGTGATGAAACAGGCGATTTGAATTTAGCTCAGAGTCTTCATTTAGGCTTGAGGACCTTTTAATGCAGTAGTAAATCTACTAACATGGGACAACCGGCTTTACTTCCCCCCAAAGCAAGGTGTACAAAGGATTTTTTTGTCCTTAAAAATGAACTTGGGTATTACAGTCCGATAAGCTATTAGTACATCACTGTCACAAGTTTTTAACCGATTCTCATACAATAATCTATTATTCTACAGGATTAATAAAATAATCTCAAGTAGCGCATATTAAATTGAGGAACCAATAAAGACATCTCAACTTTAGGAACTCCTTATCGACTCCCCAATTTATCATGCACGTTAAACGAACAATGGAATCATTACAATTACTAATTTAGTCAATGAAAAATATCAAGAATCAATAAGTAAATTAAAGATGTCGTTTTATATCCAAATCTGGCATCTGCTTAGAGAACTTTGATGGTTGTGATACACCGTTTCCATCGGCAACTAAAACATTGCCAAGAAATGATCTATCACTTAATTCATCTCAAGTACTGAAGATCTAACATACACTATTAGGGTTTCCACACATCTGTTGGTGCCAGTTTTGCCATTTTTGCTTACTCTTTTCACAACAGTACTGACATAATGTGTCTAGCAGTGAAGGACAGTGAAACTTTGATTTCATCATCCCAATTTTTATACTTTCCCAGAATTTTCTCATAACAGAGTCGTCCCGGCAAAACATCCAAATAAGTAATGAGTAATTTTCCTTGATTTTGCGTACGTCTTGTGAAGTCCTACTGTGAAGCAAACCCTGATATAAAGTTTTTTGCACAGTAGGCCTCTTAATTTAGGCAGATGTTTTGAAAGAAAGGGCGGCAATGATGGTATTCGTTTCAGGAAGGGTGGTGGGGATACACAAAAATATCATGTGTTTTGCTATTTGAAAATTCATAGTTTAGAAGTTGATGCTCACTTTGTGGAGCAATTAGACCTTGCTGCCAAAATTGGTTCGAATGTGTCCACTCAGAATTCAGTAGTGAAAAAGCATGAGCAAATTCAAAAGTTACTTGAGAAGCTGACCATCGTTTTCAAAATCATGAAAATGACTGAAAATGTCTCAGATTTAAGCACATGAGAACATGTAATATAGCCATCAATGGATCAGATCTAAAAGAAAGGTGTAGCTTTTTCATGTTGCTGTACTACTAGGACTTGAAAGACTTCAATGGCTGACTGGACCGCTTCAAAAGGTTTCAGAATCTAATTTACAAAACTGCCTCTCAGGAATGTGCAAAAGTGAATCAAGCCTTTGATTTGGACTGGGAAAGCAGATTCATCAGCTAACTGAGGGCTATGAAATAAAAATGTTCAATGCAGAACAAACTGGTATGTTCTTCAATCTCCAACCCAACAAAACATTTGCTCTTACAGGGGACCAATGCCATGGGGGCACTAAATCAAAACAGAATCACTGGCATTACTGGCATGTAGTGCCAATGGAAGCCAAAAATTGCCTCCTTTAGTTAATGGTAAGTTTCAGAACCCCCAATGTTTTTAAAAAAACATTAAAAGTATTCCAACAAAATACAAGGCAAACTAACAACCCTGGATGGGTGGAAGAATTTTTGAAGACTTTCTTTTACAAGTAGATAAGCAGATGGAGGCCAAGATCTCAGAATTGTCCTCTTCATTGATCATTGTGCTGCTCATCCAAAAGAAACTTGTGGGCTAAAATTTAAGTTATATTTTTGCCACCAAACTATTCTAGTTAATTACAGCCACTGGACATAGGCATCATCCGTTTATTCAAGCGTAATTATAGGAAGCAGTTATTAAGAAAAGCTGTGCCATTGATAGATGGAGGGATGCTTGAAGACACTTCAAAAATGAAATTAAATATCCTCCAACCATTGCATTTTGTCACTGAACCTTGGAGATAGATATGTCCTGAAACCATACAGAATTGTTTCAAAAAAATGTGTGTTTCAAATTGAAGTTGAAATGGAAAACATTGAAGTTCTTCCAATTTTAACTGCATACGGAAAGCAGGACTGGCTCTCATTAAAGGCAAGTGACTGACTCCCAAAATTGTGACTGTGGACAATGATTTATCAACTTGTGAAGTTTAGTCTGTTGACCAGATGCTAGAAGATCAAGTTTCTTCTGTTAAAGGGAAGGATGTCTGAATTTGCTGAGGAAGACAGAGAGGAAAATGTTACCTTCATGCCAGCTCTTAGAGGATTTTACACTACTCTACTCAAAAATATCTTTAGCAATTAAATGTAGAAGAAAGTGTGTTGATTTCTTGCAGCTATGTAGAAAACAAACTCTACATTGTAAAACAACTCAAAAACAAAAAGCAAATATTAGTTTTAGACTAGGTGAAGAAGTGATTGTGTGCAGTTTAAAATAGATTTATTTTTCTATGGATCATTTCTTTTCAATTAAAGTTCTAATTTATTATTTAGAATTACAATGTGTTTTGAAACAAAATCTGTACAAAAGAAATTGCAAGGGGATAGGGCAGCATACTTTCCATTCTGGGGGTGTTGTCATTGGGGAGCTTAAACGTATGTGTGCTTCGAATATATGTATGGCCTCCGATTGAAGAATGGGGAAATGGACGGAAATTGCTTTTTATGAAAGATGGAGATCCGCCCTACTTCACAATTCTAGTGAGAGCATGACTTGACAACAATTACCCCAGCAGATGGATGGATGGCAGCAGATGCCACCAGGGACAGAATGGCCTGCACACAGCCCTGATCTAGCCCCCTGTGAATTCTTCCTTTGGGAATGGGCTAAGGAACAAGGACTAACGGTCTTGATTACAACATTCATGATGTGTTTGCCAATGTCTCAGTTTTGATGCTACAAAGAGCCGTGGAATCTCTTCCTAAAAGATTCAGGCACTGCTTGTGTAGAAAATGTGGGTTCATACGTCAAAATGTAACGTAGTAACCACGAGGTACTAACAATGTATTCAATGGTAATAAAACTTCACTTTATTGTTTACTTTGTGAACTACTCATTACAAATAGATATTTACTTTACAACCACCTTGTATGTGCCCATGCAATGCTGCATAATCAGCCAGTTAATACAGACCCCAAAACACGAAAAGAGGCATAAGAAGAGTTGGACTAGGGGAAGAGTACTTTAAGTATTAGAAAAAGTTTTAAGAGCACTGACAAGAGAAATGAAAATGCAAATAACACAATTAAAAGGACAAAGGAGTGTTTAAGAAAGCCACTGCATCATAAACTTTGTGTGGTGTTAGAATATGCATCATGCTGACTGCTACAGATGCAATGAGAAACAAAACTTATCTTTTTATAGCATTTGTAATAGCTAATTGTTTTACTCTCATAAAAATTAATACTATATAAAATTGTCCTAATGAGTGTCTGTTATTCTCATTACTAATTAATTGATATGTTCCTTAGGATTTATAGACTGTCTATAATTAGAAGAGAAAAGTAAATTCTTTTAAATTAATCAACATTTATTGCAAAAACGCTATTAACTTTAAAAAATGGTAATGAATTTAAAAGAATTTAGAAATTATTTTAATTTGTGTTTTAATTATTGATTATTTATAAATCCTATGGAACATAGCAATTAACTAGAAATTAGTATAATTTTAACTTTTTTATTGTCTTGTCATTAAATGTATAAACTCGAAGCTGAAATAAAATTTATCCAAGTTTCCCAATGGAAATTGAATTTTCAAACTAAGTGCAGTTTCATCCAAATTTAAGCATTTACTGTTTGCTTGTTACCTATTTTTTCTTTAAATGATTTATAAAGTTTCTAATGCTATGTATGCAAGAAGTTGCTACTAACTCTGAACAATGGAATTCTCAAATTAATTTTAAAGTGTTTCTGAAAGATATTTATATCTCTCTCGAAAAGTTTCATTAAGAATCGTACCATACGATAAGAACCTTGTTACTGAAAAATAATCCATTTTTAATGTTGTAGGTATCTCAAATGTGAAAAGTCGAGAGAGTTTGGTTATGGCTTACACTGATATGCCTGAGGATCCATTTAGTTCAGCGCCTTTTAGTATGCCAGGTAAGTCAATTAAAAGTGTCTGTTTTTGAAATTATGACGATTTATAGCAAAATTGTGAAATTCCTTTGTTTTGCAGCTTCAAAACATCTTAGAGACAAACAATCTTCCAAGAAGGCTTCTTCAGGAGGTAAATCTTAAGCTAATTACTCCATAGCTTTAATTTGAATGTAGTCATCTAAAGTATACTAGTCACAAGGCCTTTTTTTTACTTAGAGTATCAGTGGACAGTGAAAAAATGCTTCTATCCAAAAAAAACTTCAAGTTCCTTTACTGTCATGAAATACGGTGAATGAGTTTTGTAGGTCACATAATGTCAACACAAGCAGTCCATTGAAGATTTTTTTTTCTCTCTCTATCTCCAAGTTTAACTTCTAAAATTTGCATTCTTTTCCATAAATATTAAATAGTCTGTTACTCTTTATGTACACCAAGTACACTGGAATTGAACAGAAATGCATGATAAAAAAATTTGTTCTTTAAATAATTATCTGCTACAAGGTTTAATATTTCAAAATTAGTCATCTGAAGCAGATATCCTTGTATCAAACTTTAAAGCTAGCATGCAGCCAGCTTTGTTAATTTATTGTGCCATATTACTGTAACTACAAGTTTGGTTCTATAATGTTGTGTCAAATTCTTGAACCTTCTAAAAGAATTTTTTTTGTTTTAACATAGCTTCTTAGTGTAATTAATTATTAGGTATTGTTTCTAGGTATTTTTCTATTTATTATTGTGCTCAAAAATATATTTGTTTTTCCTTGTAAATTTATAACTAAAAACTAATGATGGAATCGAATTAGGCTAGATCAATGATTGATTCAAAACTTCCAGAGTAGGCCTATAAATACATATAAGTAGATAGTTACTTCTTGTTTGAACTGACATGTATTTTCTTGTGCAATGTCTTCAAAATATAGTATTGCTGGTCTTTCAGCATTATGTAATGATGTTAAAGACTGTCTGGGGAGTTACAAAACAATTAAAATTTGTATGTATTGAGAGTTTATTAAGTGTTCTATACATTTTATATCACTCGGTTCAATTTTCTTTGTATCATTTGAGTTCCAAATGCTCAGTATCTGTTGTTATTGTGAATGCTAGTCAGTGAATGAAGAAAAAAGTGATCCACCATAGTTATCAGTGTGCATGATGTAACTTCTGGGAATTTCTTCCATGTATTTTCTTTATTTGCCTTGATATTATGTTCAAATAACCGTGGAACATGCGTTCTAATATCAATTATGGAGCTCTTTGTTGTTGTTCCCTGAGCTCCTGGAATGAAAAAGAGCTGCCCATTGGGAAATTGTACAGTCTCTCAAAGAAGTAGTACATGTATTTGTGAATGGTATTTAAGGGCAGGGGACCAATGTTTTATGCAAAAATTATAATTTGAAGTAGTGTATTATTATTGTTGTTAGCACTGAAAGAAGCAATCATGATTTGAGGTTATGTATAGAATCAATATTAAAACTAAGCCAGTTTAGTGGTGCTGAACAAACACATTATTTGTATTGTGATAATGAGTTATAATATTTTGTTTATTTTTTGTTTAAATATATTTATGTATTGATGTACTTCCAAAACAATTTGAAGTGTTTCATATGTTAAAACAATAGTGTGTGGCATGTGACACTTTCATCTTTCTAGGATATTACCTCTTTTTGATTTTATAGAAAAATAGGAAATTTCATTGAAATTAGTTTGTGTAAGCAAAATAATTTTTGTGAAGTACATCATGTCATATAAAACTACATATGTGGATTACATAATATTAAATGGCCTTAGTTTCTTTGGCCATTAAGAGAAAGGCAGAATATTTTTGCAATTCAGTGTAATATTTCACATCCATCAAAAATATAATGGCCAATAATTAGTGTCAAGTGTACCTCAATATAAGAAAGTTAATTTTACATATTTTTGTTATTATATTCATTAATTTGAATGTAGATAGTTTTGGCCTTAAAACGTGATGTGTTGTTACACAAAAATGCACATGTTTCCTTGGTGATCTTAAGGCAGTCTCTGGAGAATTTTTTCTTCATATTATTTTTGACATATCAGCTCATAAATTAGCACTGAACAACAATATTACTATTTTACAGTTTTTTATTTTACTTAATTGCTCATTATATATACTTCTTTATTGAGGAAATTAATATGTGTTATTAATAGTAATATTGAATTCCTCATTGTATGAAATGTCACTCTGCATATTGAATCCTATGCAATATTAGTTGACCTGAAAATTACTACACAAGAAAACTTTTTCTGCTTCAATTGTGTTCTTCAGAATTTAATTGAAGTAATTTGCAGTGTGTTGATTTGTCAAAATAAGAGCTGTCTTATTTTGAAAGTATTCATAAAGATGAATCTTTGTTTTCTGTATTGTGATTTTTCTTAAAGATGCAATGCTCATGTGATTTATTTTGTGTAAAGTCACTATATAATTATGTTTCTGAGATAATTATATTGTATAAAATTAATTGAAATATTTTAGTATCTAAATGATATAAGACTGATAGATCATTTAGAAATGTGTGGATATCATTACTTTGTAATGAGGGTAGTGTGAGTAAAATCACCATTGGAATTTGAATTTATTTCTCTGAATTTGTAGTTGTCTAAACATTAATCTGTATAAATCATTTGAATGAATATTTTTACATTAATTTTTGGGGTGTTATCATTTCTAAGGGTTCTGCAGTTCATATCTGCTGACATTGATCAACCCCACATAACAAGTTTAAATACCTTTGTTACTTTGAAACGTTAGTACTGTTATTGATTGACTCCCAGGAGTCCTTCTTTGACAAATTATAGGAATAAAATTGTTGAACATTTAAGAGTTGTTCCTAAATCACGATAGTTTGGTTTCATAATCCTGTCATTATACATAGCAATTAATTTGTTATTCTTTAGTTTTAATGTTGGCAATATTGACTATTAAATGCATCGAAGTGCAAATGCTAAAATATGTATAATGGAAAATTTATATCTTTTTCTGGACTGTTGAGCCAAGTGTTTCTTCACCATGATTTACAGTGAAGTACAGGATAATTTCATTTATGAATTAGAAAACAATTGCAGAAGTTCAAAAACCAGGAAATTATTCTTTGTATGTCAGTATTTAGAATTATGAATATTGTGAGGCTTTACAAGACCTTTGTGAATTTGATGCTAGTACTTTTTTAGCTTTGATTTTTCTGCAAATGATGTCTCAAAGAGTAATTTACACTCCAATCTTGAAATTATTTTTTTCTATTATAAATTATTTAGTATTAGAGTATGTTTAAAATTTCTTTCAAGAAGCTACTCATAGTTACAATTTATTATACTTAGAAAATCATTTGCTGTGTTATCACTTGTTTATAGATAAAGTAATACATATGTTAATTATATATATTTTGAAAAATATAAACATTATGTGCTAATTTTTTAAAACTGTGTAGCATTAGATTATATTGTACAGATTTTATATATTTTTACCTTAGAATTTCCTTGTATAAATGAAGATATATATCTTTGGTTCACCCTCTATTGCTTCAACTGGAACAACCCTATCAGATACATTAATTTGACGTTTGACAAGAAAAATTGGCATTTATTTCTTGTAAGAAGATATGATGTTCCAGTAAAGAACTTTTTCTCAAAGGCTGTCATAAATAATTAAGTGTATTAAACAATGCAATAAATGACATGACATGTAATTTAATATTTGTTATTTTATTGTTTTATTGTCTGATTAGGGGTGTTCCAGATAAGGTGGTGGAGTAGAAACCTTTTAAGCTTAAGTTTTATTATGTTTGATGGTGATTTTATATTGGTTGTCTAGAGTAAGATTTTCCCACCTTTGGTTGAAACAGCCCTAGTCAGATTGAATATAATTCATGCATTTCCAGTAAGTATTCTATTTTTGTGGACATATTTTTAAACTTTTTGACTTGAGCAATCCCTCTGGATTACAACCTATGCTAAACAGTATTAGACTTGCTTATTCAGCCTTCTGTCAAATGTAGTGTTTTAAAAGTTTACACACACGCACATGTATGTGTGCATCTAATTATTAACATTGATGCTGTGAAGTATACTAATAAAAAAAGATGAAAAATATTGGCCATTAATATAAGAGACTCTGGCGTGTAGATTAATGGTGCTGCAAAGCATATTTCTCGAATTATTTGTTGCCGTCAGCTTTCGGGAAGAGTTCAACAAAAATCAGACCTGCACCGTTTTTGCAAGCATACTTTGCACTATCCAAGAAACAAATGAATAAAAGTTGTGAGGTATTTTTGAAAAACTCTTGTTTCTAAAATTGCCTTTATTTCATGAAAAATTATGCAAAACTTCTCATGTTCTTGCTTAAAGTTGTAATATTGAAGAACAGATTTATTAAGAAAATATATTAAACTGTTTATCTTCAGAATTGTAGTAGTAGGAACTTGCCACAACATTTTTAAACTCTTGCAACCTTCAAATCAGTGAGATCAATGAAAATTGCATGAGTCATTTTTATAAGCATATTTTGCTCTATCTGTGAACAGAAGTAGAAAAACAAAGCATGGTGGCGAATTTTAGAAAATTTTGAAAATGTCAATTAAGACACATTGAAGAGTACAGTGCCCCCAAAATTAAAATATCCATTTCAATTTTATATCTCAACTAGATCAATCGAGGAATATCAATTTTGGAGAAAATTCTCCCTGTAGTTTAACAGCTGGTGCTATTCCCAAATGGTCAAACATTTTTCTGTGAAACAATTTTTTGGCATCAAGGGGCTCACAAAATATGGATTCAGACTACACACATTTTAGAGGAAGTTATTTATTACAAGCTATGAACAAGAATTATCTACTTTTTAAGTACCAGGGATTAGTAAAACAATTTTTTTTTTGTCTTAAAATCATTAGGTTTTTTTCCGCATTACAATGATTTGTCCACGTAAGTAGAATGCGTGAAAGTAATATCGTCACTTGTATTAGAGTGTGAGCAATGATTTTTTTTTTCAATCCAACGACATCTTACTGGGAATGCCATGACACTTCCTTCTATCCCTTTTCCCAATACAACTGGGCTTCTGTCCAATCTGTTATTTATACTTTAAAAATATATAACTTTTTTGTTACATCCTAGTGGCAACAAAATTGCTCTTTTAAACTATTTCTTTTAGGAGAAAAATTTCACTTCTTAAAGTAAACTTCTTTCCCGTTATTGTAATTTTGATTCCCGATGTCAGAGAAATTAATTTCTTTCTCTTTCTGATCAAGTATTTTTTTACTTTTGTGTTTGTGCATTATTATGATTTTGTACTTAAAAGTTTGAAGAAAGTTTTTGTTTTTGCATTCAGAATGACTTAAAATAGTTCATAGGTTTTTGGTTCATCTACAGTAATAAAGTTTCATTATGTAATGTTGTTTGTTTTCATATATTCTTTTGTTTATGTTTCATTATTTCATTTAAAACATACTGTTGTTACTAATTAATCTAACCCAATACAATTTCTAGTGTGACTTCATTTATAAATAGTAGTTTGAGAACCTTTGTTTCATTCCAGGAGTTTATAAAGCTGTAGACATGCCGAGAAGCGAACAATGGGGCCAGCACAGCAGCAGCAATTCATCTCCTGATAGGAATGAACATGGGGATGGGGGCACTTCATTTTTGTTGGGAAGTGCAAGTTCTCCTCCTTTTGTAAGGGCCCCTGCTGAAGACAGATCAAAATATGAAAAGCTTTCACACAATTTTGACGATGTTTCATCTGATGACAGTCACAACAGGAAGCCAGATGAAGGTAATTCCTTTAAGTGGATATATCACAGGTTTTGTAATTTTTTCAACATCACATTACTAGGAAGCCTATATTGTTACTTAAAAAAAAATAAAAAGAAAAAAATTAGTTACAATTACAATAATGTGTAATAAATGGACATTGGATGTTTAGGAAAATACCTATTTAATTCTAAAGAACATATTTAAACTCTTTTAGTTTAAGTGCAGTGAATGAATAATGGGAAACAAAACTTCTGAAGAAGTTTAATTTAGTCATAAATGCCTTTTTAGCCATAGTTTTCTTTTTAAATGCTTTTTCTTTTAAAATATGTTTGTCTTCTTTTGGACTTTGTTAAAAATAAACGTGTAAATTGTTCTTCAATTTTACTTATCACAAAAGCTGTCTACTTTGTAACAACCCTACATTTTTGTGTATGGACTGAAGTTGTTATTTACATGCCATATTCCGTGTTTTTGAATCCCAAATACTGTTTTTTGTGACTTCAGATTGCACGTCTTCACATAAATTAATAAAACATCTAATGGTGGTGAGCACTGTGTTCAAATTTGTGGCGCAACTAAAACACTCGTGCCTCAGGGATGATAACCCCAACTTCCGACATTTGAATCTTACCGTGTCAGATGTTCTTCCAGGAATGTATGGAAGACTCTGTTAATTCAACTTCAGATCAGGTTACTCTGGTGCAGCCTATTTAAAATAGGAGCTATTTGTCAATGTGTTGTCAGTTTACAAGCCAGAAATAAAAGTATTGTAAGTAAAACAGTCTACCAGGCAACATGAAGGGATTTAAATTTGGATTTCTGCAGATGGAACATGGGACATCAGGTTCACTTATCATATATTTCATTGAATTGTTGTGAAAAGGAGTCTGTAAAATATCATTTATTGAGTTCAAAACAAATCAAGATAATTAATTCTGAAATTGGTAAATTCAGGACTAAATGTATTGTATCCAGATAGGATTGAAGATCAAAGGGAACTTTAAACATTAACGGATTCAGCTGCTTACATAATTTCGGCAGGCCAGCTTTTTCTAGCCATTTTCCCCCCTAATTTTACACATTACTTGGGTTGCTTGCATTGAAGAAGTTAGAAAACATTCGTACTGTCTATAAATTCATTTCAAGTTTCAAAAAAGTATTTTTGAAATCACCTTTAGAACTTGCAAATTTACCCCCTGAACCTGTAATAACATGGTCGAAGGCAGTGGCATATTATGCCAAGAACTTTGAAAACATTTTGAAAATAATTGATGAATTTGAAGAGAGCAATGCCCAATGTATCTAGGAAGCTCAATAAGCAATGAAAGATAAAGTTAGATTTCGCTTATATTTATGCAAATTCTACCTCTAGGTGGCATTCAATCTAACTTTAGCAATTAGAAACAGGAATCTGTTTCTGTTCGACCATGTAACTGGTGTTAAGAAAAAAAGAGAAAGAGAACTCCAAATACCAGCGAAATTTGACAGTATTCTGATATAAATCCCTGGTTATAAAACTACATATTCTATCTATAATATATAGTGTGGAAATAAGTTGTCATCAGAATGTACTGTGCTTAGTAGTATATTATATAAAAATGTTACAGTCAACCAATGTTGACATTGAAAGGTCTTTTTCAGTGCTCAAACTTATTTTATCTATAAATGCCACGAATTTGAAAGTTCCTATCTTGAGAAAGTGTTATTTATTTTTGTAATTTCAGTGACAGAAATGAAAGGAAATAAATATATTACTTTTTGTCACATAAACTAATATATTTTGTGTTGATGTATAATTTGTCTAACAGGGTTATGAATTCATTAGTTTCCCCTCATATATTGTTTTTATTCTGAAATACATTTGGCTTAACATTCAGTTGTTGTTGTTTTTTGTTTTGACATTGTCACTCATTTTTTCTTTTTCTATTCATAAATTATTATCTGAATGTTGTTACTTGGGGATAGTGCATAATATGAGTGTCTTTTTCTTTTCAATTTGAGTTTTTATTGCCCTTTCACTGCCTATTTTTAATTTTTGCTCAGACCTTAACATCCAATGTCCAGGAATAAATGTAATTAATGATGCTTCTGATGAAGGTTGATACATAACACACAATTTTCTTGGTGTAGGTAATAAAGTTCGAAGAAGACGACGTAGTGGAAAGACCAGTGGAGGCAGAGGAAAAAAAGAAGTTAACGATGTGCCGTCAACCAGTTACAGTGGAAATTTATCTGAAGATTCAATTGGTTCAGCTAGTGATTTACATGCTATGAATGATGATGAACATCTAGGAGACGATGAGAAAAAGTGTGATAATAGTGTTAAAAGAAATGAAGAAACCATTTCAGAAAGCATTGTAACTTGCGGCTCTTCTGCTTACCATGCAGAATGTGAGAGTGTTACAACACACGAAGATGATGAAATTTCACGTTTGAAAGGCTTTCGGAAAGTTAGAGAAAACTTAGCAATAGATGCTCAGAAGCCCTTCATTGAAGAAGCAGATGAGAATATTACTCAAGATTTACTTTTTGTTGGACATCAATATGGTGATAAACCTTTGTTAGCTGATGATGAGCTCGATACAGAAGATGATTATGGGGACAGATCTCCATCTCCTATTTCAGCATTTACAAAAGAAAAATTATGGAAAAGTCATGAAGAAAATGATTCTAAATTAGGTTCTCTCAGAGATCCTACTGATGTATTTGCATTAGCTCCATTCCAAAAACCATTAGTGTATTCACGTCGCAGTTCAAGTAGAGGAAGTAATAGAAAAGTTCATCTTTATCAAAGTCGCAGTCAACCTGCTAGTCAGACTGTTTCCCCAATGGACCTGGTTAGCAGCAGTAATAAGTCAACATTTCTAGTCTCTTCTTCCCCTCCAAATTTCAGTCTTACTCCTGAATGTTCTTCAGTTTCATTTCCAAAAATGTCATTGCCATATGCTGGATCATCTGCAGGTTCAGGAGATCAGATCTTTTCTGATTCTTTTGGAAAAGTAGACGAAATGCTTAGAAACAGTGCTCATGATGAGATAGAATGTTCAAAACAAGACATGTCAGATTGTTTTAAAGCTGATGGAAGGTATGATTCTACGCACTTTGCTTCATCTGTTCCACCAATTCAAGAACAAGACGAACCATCTGATGGGGGAAAGGACATGTTTGGGTCTTCTCCTTTTAATTCAGGTTCTTATGCAAATCCATTTAATAGTACAAATGTTGCTGTAGTTCCACCTTCCACATATCATGTTCCCACACCAAATACCCCATCTCCTAATAAACCTCCATCTTCGTATGCAAGTCCATGTCAGGAATATTTCTGCATTCCACCAATTGCAAAAACTGTGCCAGATAGTTTACATCTCAAAGAATCTCCTGGTTGCAGGCTAACTGTTGCTCCTCACAAAAGTCCTCCTCCTGCCATTGCTCCAGATCAACAGAATGCTTCTGCACATGATTTGTTTGGGTCTGTGCCATTTAATGAAATGACATCTAAAATATTCATTTCACAGAAAAATAAACAAAGTGTTTCGTCTCCACAAGAATTACCATTGTCTCAACATTCAATGCGTCCTGCATCCTTGTCACTTGGTCATGTTTCATCTAATCAGCATTGTGGAAAAAGTTCTTCGATTCTGAATAGTATGTCGGGATTTTTATACCTTGCCCAACCCAATACTCAGCATTCACAATATTTTGATGAAGAAATTGATATTCCAGAAAGTAGTCAAGTAAAAGAACCTGATATTACATCACCAAAACAAAATACAAAGAAAGAGAGAAGCAAAGGTGATAGATCAAAGTATCATCTTATTGAAGAACGTATCGAGTCAGACTCTCTAAATATTCCTACAAAATTATCTAATAAAGTTGTGAAAAGCTCAACACAAAAAAAATTAAATAAGGCATCGAAGAAGGGTACTTCAGATAAAACGCCCAATACTGCTGCAGCTGGGTTTAGCAATATGAGTTTTGAAGATTTTCCCAGTGATGAGAGGGAAAGTGTGACTGATCAGATGGTTGTTCCGTTTGAAGTTGTACGTAGTGAGAAATCTGCCTATGATGGTGAAAGGAGGTTTGGTTCTTTGAAACGCCGGAGTAACCCTTTTTCCTGAAAAATAATGCGCATGAATCACATCTATCATATTCTGTAATTAATTTTTTATTAGACAGAATGAAAAATGTAACATCCTATTGTAGGAAATTCACAATTCTCATTATTGTTCTGTTAAATGTTTTGAGCACAACCATTATTTCCATTAATAGTGTATTAATAAAGAAAACAGTTATGTGTATAATTTGCATAGTATTTGTTCAGTCATTATTGAACTCGTGTATGTTAATAATATTCATTATCATACTATATACTGAGTGTACATTCCTTTGTTGTGGATTGTTGTTACAGTATTTTGTGTATTTTGCCAGATTTCTCATTGTACTTCTGATACAATGTTGCTAAAGTGAAAGGAGAGCTTTAAATATAAAGAATTTGTATTGTACAGTGTTATCAGATTGTAATAATTATTTGTGGAATACAGTTTTCTGAAGTTTAAAAATCATACTTTATAAAGTTATTCTTGTATTGCAATGAAGTGTACCAAGTTACTTGAAAAATTAGGTGAGTCATCTACCAATGTCATTGGAAAGAAGACGCACCAATGACTTCAAGAAAATGGAAGAAGGTATAGTTTTTGGAATGTTGATAACCCATTTTATTATTGTATTATTGAAATTCTGTAACCAGTGACAGTCCATAAAAATGTTAACTGAAGCAGAAAGATAAAATTAAGGGATTTGTTGTGCAGCTTACACTCAAAAAAATTATATATCTCGAAGTCACTGGTTACAGAAATTAAGTTTTGCTACAACTATGGTACCTGATCTATATGTAAATATCTTCAGTATTGATGTTACTTCCTGATTATAATAATTATACTAGAATTAGTTGTGGATTTGAACTGAAGAATTTTCTTTGCCTTCACTTTATTGTATGTGCTTGTATTATGCTGAAAGTTATAATTTAATATGACATTGAAATAATTTCCATTTATTACATGATTGTATAATTGATCATTTAAATTATTTGATGTTAGTGTGTGTCATTTTTGCTCTTGAAGGGTGAGAGAGAATAACTGGTATACCAGGTAAAAAAGATTTTTCATTACAACTTACCAGTACATGGCAAAACAAAATGAATTTCCAATTTTTCATCTTCACTTTAAAACGAGACTGTAAAGCTCAGTTTTGAATGAATACCTTCAAAATTTTGAATTAGTAGATAAAAGCCATGCATGCACAATCAAGCAATTTAAATTTTGTTAGTAAGTCCTATGTTATTACTAGTCTTCAAGAGAAAATGTATTGCTTTATAATTTTTGTTTACTTGTAGCAGGCAACATCATTGCATGAATGTCAGATTCGTATTAATTCATGCAACATAAGGCTGTTGAAAGAAATGATTGTGTGGAAGATTTTGTGAAAGGACAAAAAGTGAATATCACAAGTGCCTGAAATAATATATTTTGAACACTACCAAATTTTATAAAAATTTTTGATTTTTAATGATGCTGTTTAATGCACAAAGTATATTATTGTGTGATGGGAAGTGACAAATGCTATCTTGACACTTTTTTCATCTTTTGCTCTTTCATACAAGATCTGGTTGATGGATGCAAGTCAGGTTCATGGAATGGAATCTTTTGCCTCTTTCTGAATTTATTTAATTTTATATTTTCTCCTATTAATTAAATGTTGTTTTTCAGAGAATTAGACCTTGAAAGATTTGTAAAGAATTACTTCTTTTCCAGTTGTAAAAAAAAGAAATTGATATTGCTTAATAATTCAACATAATTTAAATATAGGCATTCATGTACACATATTTTAGAAAAAGACTATTAAAACAAGTTGCTTTATTAGAACAGATATGAGGCATTCTTCTGTATTTTTCATAGTACGACTCAAACTGCCTCAATTTCTGGCAAAAACAGTGGTAAAAATATGCATTTATTATTAAAGTTATGTATCAGCACAGTAGAGTTGGTGCTCAAGAGAGCATGGCATTTGCCTTGTGGCTCACTCCTATTGTTGAAGTTGTAGATTAAATCACTGACTGTGGTTGCTATGCAATATGGCATGCAATTTTTTTCCCCTGTTCCTTTTTGAAAGTGGATGCATTGTATTGCAAATGAGTTTATTCAGTGAAAATTAATGTTCCTCTTTTTTTGTTGGCAGCAAACTCTCTGTCACTGATAATGAACTCATCTCAAAAATGAATTTTACATACCAAGGTATATACAGTTAGTTCATAGAATAATGTGTACAATTTATAATTTCATTACCAGTTCATGTGACTGATGTAACCTTTACGAATGTATACTCAGCATGTGAATTTCATGCTGGTAAGTTTACTAAAGGATAATATTAGTCTGTGATTTTAGATTGTTATTTATGTAGTCAGAAGAATGTTTTGTAAGATCATATGTGGCAGCATTTATGAAGTATATCAAACTGCATTTTTATATTGTAAATGGTTCCATGGATTTTAAGCTCTTAAAAAGCAAATAGTAAAACAATAATGAAAGGTGAGACAAGTTACAGAAGTGTGGATAATGGTGCTAGATCTTGTGGATTTATTGAAGTATTATTGATTTATCACTTCGTATAACTGTATAACAATGCACCAGCTAGAAATATGTCAATATTTCTCTTTTATACCATACAAGGCATATTCTAATATGCAATTTTCCTATGGATTGTGGTGAGTACAGTTTGCTGATAGCATATACATCATGAATTAATATTTTTATATCAGTTATGGTACGAATATAGTCACACCATATACAAAGAGTTTCTGTTACATTTTCCTATAAATTCTATACTATGTATGTATATATCTATTTATAATAGCATAAGATGTTCTGGGATATTAGATAAGTGTTTTTGTTAGCAATGCTTAGACATATGAAGTCAATAAAGTCTGGCTACTGCATGAATACCCATAAGTTTGTGTATTTTTCTAATACTCCTAATCTGCTTCCAATCTTTCCTTCATTGACTTACGTAATAACCCTTAGATGTATGAGTTGAGGTTAACATGGTCAAACCATTTTATATTAACTTAATATTAAATTGGATATGATGCAAACATCCCATTTTATCCAACAAGTGAATTGTATCATTTCAACTTCTCTGTCATTTTAATTATAACATCTACATGTCAAATAAAAGTTGGAAAGTTATTTAATGTATCTAACAGAAATCAAAAGATACACCTAATTGTTACATGAGGTCTTCTACCACTTGCAACAAATGAATCTATCAAGCTTTCATGACCATGCAGGTGTAGGTTCCAAAATGACATACCATGAGTAATAACACTTGTCATAATGAAATATTTTTGCGAAGACAAATATTTAAATATACTATGTTTACAAAAGTTGTATATGTACACACTATCAGAATTTGCAGTAACGTTATGTTCTGAATTTTCTATCAAAATGCTTCATGATTTGAATATTAGTGTTTTCCTCCTCACATAGTATCTGTGAAATTTGCTATGATAATATGTGAAAGCAGCTTTTAAATAACATAATCCTTTCTAGTTCAATGTTTTGTAAGATATTACACAAATTATTCTGGAGAAAGAAACTTCATCTCCAGGATATGAAAAACATTACCCAGGATATTGTAGTATGAAAAGGTATATTTAATGACATACCATTACAGTATTTTTTTTCCTTCAAAATAATTTTTATTTTAAAATGTTTTATTACAAGTCTTCAAAAATTGGGATCTGTTTGAATGAATCTGTTCTGTGATCTACACACTGAAGAACCTTCTGCCTCTCTACTTCAAAACGAGATAGTGGTTGAGAGCATTCAACCAGACTCAACTGTCTTCCCATGATGTATAGTTCATTACCTATAATTTAAGAATTTTGCATGCTGTATCACATGAATTAAAACATTCAGTTTCTTGAAATACAGCCTTTCTTTAAGACATCTTTTTTTTTCTGTGGCAATAATGTAGTAATAAAAAAATATACAATACCCGGAAGCTCCTGAATATTGAAGATCTTTAGAATAGAATTTCCATTTCTGCAGTTTCTTATTTTGAAAGAAAATTTATATGAAATCTTTTAAGTATGCCTGACATTACTTGCAAGGGATTAATTTATTTATCTAGTGATACTAGTGAACACCAAGAAATTTAATTATTTCAGTTCTGTTATTAATGATTTTAATCAGTTTTTTAGTGTTTATAATATTGTACCGGTTAATTATAATAACCTGTTTTGCTGAAAATATGTCTTTGTGTAAAAATTATTGTTATGTTTGTATTGAATGAAATTAAAATTATCAACACTCACCGATTGTTTTGTCATAAGAGTTGGATCTAGTACACATTTTCTCATTTTTTTTGGTCATTTTTCAAATTGTAGAATTAAATTCTGATTTTTAATAAATGATAAGCTAGTGATCAAAAAATATTAACTACATGACAAAATATAATGTATTTTCAGTGGTCATATTACAAGGCTTAATATTTCCTGAGAAGATTGTTGAAATGAATGAAATAATAATCTTCGATCTGGTGTATGGCTGTATTATAAATATGTTCAGAAAATTTAAAATAAATGAATTTGCTTCCAACTGAATTGAATTGTGGAATAAATACATTTTGATCTGTTGCTCCACATATTATTGGAGAGTAAAAACAGTATATACAAAATTTCAATGAAAAATTTGGAACCATTAGGAAAAGTTCATTGGAGCTTTTCTGAAAATATATAATTTAGAGCTCATTTTCACAGAAAACTTTCCGAATTTTGAAGAACAAGAAATTTTATCAGAAATCATTTGAAGAACATACAAAAGTAGGACGTTCACTCTATTTTGTACACGTACATTACTTTGTCCAAATAAAAAATTGAGAGCCATTTTTGAGAAAAACTTGAAACAATCTTTGAGGTTTCATCAAAAATTAAAATATCTTTTTCGAATTCGGAGACTTTCTTTATGGCATCAGCCATAAAGATATCAATTGCCGTGAAAATCCTGTTCGTGGCTGTGATCACTGAATAATCTACTGGAGACCACTATTTATGTGGTAATATTAAGAACAAGGCAATAGTTCGTATAAATATGTTCTAAAAATAATAAATTCGAGCTTTCTAGGAGTCATTAATTTTTAAGCCTCTTGAATCGTGTTCATCACATATTGACACCGCCATCTATTCTGGCTATCATTTTGAACAAAACTGGATTTTATGTATGTACATACTCGGCACGCGATGCTCTCCTCATAGACAATTACAACCGATTACGGAGAGAAATGAGTAAATTCCGCACATTGCAGTCGCAGCTGCCGGTTTGAATTTCGCGCCCGGAAGTGTCTTTTAAACTCAATTTTCTCGGAGACTTTTCTCCCCCCCCCCTTTTTTTTCTTTCTCTTCTGAAAAATTGGACCTCCCATTCTTCATGAATGTCAATACAGAATTTGGAGTACGTTTTTGAAGCGCGAGCTTCTGGGTCTCTATCCAACAATTTCCACTTTTTTGCCGAATAATTTTGCTTGGGATGTGGCAGTAGTCTTTCCCTCGCTGTTTGGCGGTATCCGGCGACGACCTACCGTCGGCTAGCGGGGTTTTCCTCAACCAGGTATCTCCCACCAGCAGGTCACCGCCCCAGCCGGGACAAGCTCCCGATCAGTCTTCCGGCATGTGTGCTTGTGTGTAAAGGGAGAGAAGAGAACAAGGAAGAGGTAGGAAAGATCGCCACTTATCCTCCAGACAGCGACTGAACTCGACCTTACTGACAAGCCGTCGGGACTCGAACCTAGAACCTCCCGGTTAGACTGCAATGACATCAGTTGATGTCCTGAGCCATCTCTCCCGATCGTCGTCTTGTGAAGAAATTAATTAAACTCAAAATAGAGTACAATTTAAGAACGTCTAAAGTAACCTGGCGTTGCCAGAGTATTTATCACAATCGTCGATTAAACATAGGAAAACGGCTACAACAAAATGAAAATCATTTTAATGAACTCCCTGCTTGGCAACCCGTATCGCCCGCTCCCCGTGTATCACTCATTAGTGTATTCACGCACGGCTCTCTCTGACTAGAGACAGCCGTGATTCACCCCAACCGCTCACCCACGACGACTCATACACGTGCATTGAACGTTTCATAACATTTTTATAAAGGAGATATCTACAAAGGTACATTCTTGTTCCGTATTTTACAGTCTATAAGACGCACTGTTTTCTTCGAAAAATTGAGGTGCGTCGTATACTCGAAATTAATACAAAAATGTCCAGTGTTTGATTTAAAATTCCCGCGCCAGTCTTAAAAATGGCCATATATTCGGTGCCGCGGTAAACCTATCTCTATCTGGCAACATTGGATTCAACTGGCAGCAACAATGCACCGATAAGTTGCGGGGATACACAAGCTTGCTAACACTGTCTCCCTCCTGCCCCTCCATTACAAACTCAGAACCCAGAGAATATACTCTCTGCCCAGAACACTGTCTACGATGCGTCATTGCGATCTATAGTAACTGAACTTGATTTGAAAGTGATGTGTGTTATCGTTAATGTAATATCTTCTTTCCCATACGTCACTACAGTTTTTACTATTTTTTGACTAAATAAATCTAAATCTTATAAGCCAGAAACCCTCCCGCATTAAGATAAGCATTAAATACTATGTTGTTATACTTGTGCATATAGAGGGAATGGAAGCATCATGGACGCGTTGCTATGTTGGCATATAATATAGACCACTTTGGGGCTTTGCTTTTCTATTCAAGCGAACTATGGTATACGGATTGTAAACAATGGCAGTGCTCCATATCACAATAGGAAAGAAAGTTGGAAAACATCTTCAAGACATTGATAAGTCTTGGTTCCAATGGGATGCAAATAGCCATGACATGAATCCAATGTAGGAGGCGTTAGTTTTCGCCAAGAATTAATAAGAAAATATTCGCCAAGTATATATGCCAAACGAATTGCACATAGTTTCGCCAATGCTGCACTGGCAACAGTGCGTTGCTCGTTTGCGTATAATTTGCTGCGAATACTGACCAGTCAAATGTATTCCTGTTTGTTTCATTTGTAAAAGTAAGGCATGATTGCTGCTCCTCACTGTCGAAATGAATGCAGATATGCATTACAGGCGTTTTGTTTGAATTGGTGGAATTGGACATTTTCAACTAATGGCTGAGGTATTTTTGTTGGATTTTTATTTCGCGGTGCGCGAGGGTCTATCTTCACGATAGAATATCTTACGGCATTTCGCGTCTTTCTCGGTTGTGTCGCTAGATGTAACGTGATCGCTAGTACTGCTCGATACGGTCGCGTTCATGCGACATCAAGCTAAATTCTAACATCACTACCCAAGATTGGAAACAGCCCGCCATCGTGATTAACCCGCAGGTTTCATCACACTTGTATTCCAGAGGCGATAGTGCTGCCCTCACCAGCTCGGAAAGTCACGTGTTCTGTACATCTCTATTAAAGCGCATTTGAATTAATTTTACAGCATATTATCTCATTATATTATGTAGTATATTATTGGAATATTATAAAATTATATTATGTAGTTAGATATATCTAAAATCGTTGCTATCACATTTCTTTCCATTTAGGAAGTTTTAATTCCTTTATTAAATTTTTATTATTTTTAATATTAGGTTTACTCATTAAATATTACCTATTACTACTGCGTACTTTTGTCCTACAACTTGGTCGCTAAAACAGAACATGGCTTAAGTGTAGAATTCAGAGTTGAGTGACTGGCAGCCCTGATTAAAGGGCGCGAATCGGGGATCTTTGTGGTTAGAGTGGAAGAGAGGGGGAAGTAGAAGGCTGTTCTTACATTTTGCTCCGCACAGTTGGCAAGCGGGCCGCAGTTGGCGACGTTTCCTACAGAGGACTGGCTTCTGTGAATATTGTGATATTGTGCAATACATAGTTTTGTTGTGGTGAGAGAAGTCAGTGATTGTTTCTTAGTGTATATTCGATAGTATGCATTGTGTTTATATGTGTGTTTGTTTTAGGAACATGTAAAGTGAACGAGTGAACCCTTTGGTGATCCCATACCCTCTTGTCAGAAGTAGGAAGGCAAGCAGGCAAGATGGCTACGAGCGATTCCAAAGCCCCGCTTCGCTCGGTGAAGCGGGTGCAATTTGGCATTTTGGCACCTGATGAAATCGTAAGTTAATGGTCCCTATTCCATGGACCTAAAGTGTGACCTAGTTAGGAAACGAAGTCGATTACAGTTGTGTTATTTTTCGTGAACATCTTCATGTAATTCTAAATCTAGCTGCATGTTTCCAGGCAAATCATGCGATATACTTCTAGGAAAAAAAAAAATATAGGACCTGCAGTTCTCCTAGTTTATTTTGTAAATTAAAAGACCAAAGAAAATCTTGTTCAGCTATTGTTTGAATTAAATATTAACAACACTAACTAAATTCTGTGTTAAGAGTGGAAATGCTGTGAAAGAATGGTCTGTGCATGCTACCAGTATTATTTAGTATTTTAATTACAGGTTTATGGACCTTTATTGCAAGGCTTACATGTGAATAATGTGCAAAGTGGGTGGTTGTTTTGTACTATTATGACTGACGTGACTTTTTGAACTCAATATGATTTTCAAGTTTTTCTTGGTTTGCCTATTTAATACTGTGGAGATCAATAATATATTGGAGTGCTTATGATAACATTTTTGTGCAGCGTCGAATGTCTGTGACTGAGGGAGGAATTCGCTTTCCTGAAACCATGGAAGGTGGAAGACCGAAGTTGGGTGGATTGATGGACCCTCGTCAAGGTGTAATGGACAGAAATTCTCGGTGTCAGACTTGTGCAGGTAGGTTTACTGAAAAATTTACTTGTTTTGCTGTGCAGCATGCAGTTCTAGGAGAAATAAAGATAGTATTTCAAAGAGAGTTGAGTTTTGCTGTCTGAAAAGATTTTAGTGAATTTATACGGGTATTTCATTATAAACTATATTCCAAAAGCTGACCTAGGAAGCAGAGGTTGTTATGGTGTTGTAACTTACTTGGCTTGAAGGGACCCAAAGTTCTGCTTCAAGGTATGGCATCATTGCTTGCTTCCGTGTTGTATTGTGTTGAGGCTCTCCCAATAACCATTTTCAATCCTCCTCCTACCTAGAGTATTTACTCCCTCATAATCAGGCTAAATGCTGTGGGGGAAGGTATCATTGTGGCAGTACTGAAAAAATGTGGATAGGCTAGTCTGTTGAAGAGCAAGTGCTTTATAATAGAATCCTTCATTTTTTTCTTTATTAATAATTTGCTTACTGACTACAGTCTGTTATTCATATTTTTAGAGAGATTTAAAATTGATATTTATTATTTTATGGTGATTATGGAATATTCATAGTAAATATGAATTATATATTTGATATTGACTTGATATTAGTGTTTCAGAAGTGTTATAATAATAATGAATGAGCTAGTAAAGAACTTCTTTTTATAATTTATTTATTCAAATAAGCCATTGTTCCTAAGTAGATTTGTAATATGAAATTAATAATAATTCGTGTATTACAATCCAAGTTCTTTGCTTGCAGGAAATCAGACAGAATGCCCAGGACATTTTGGACACATAGATTTGGCGAAACCTGTTTTTCATGTTGGTTTCCTTACAAAAACAATTAAAATTCTTCGCTGTGTTTGTTTTTACTGTTCTAAGCTGTTAGTTAGTCCAGTAAGTACAAAATTAAATTTATTTTTCTTAAATCAATGTTGTAATATTTTCAAGTGAATTGCCAATCTGTCACATTCTTATTCTTTTCCTAGACAAATCCAAAGATAAAAGAAATAGTGATGAAGTCTAAAGGTCAACCTAGGAAGAGATTGACTTTTGTTTATGATCTGTGTAAAGGTAAAAATATTTGTGAAGGTGGTGATGAAATGGATATTCAGAAGGAAAACGATCCAAATGATCCTAACCAGCAACAGGTACATTATTGTTTTTTATATATCTCTTTATCTTAGTAAGTTACTAGTTGTGATTAGAGTGAGTGGAACATAAAGATATATCACTTAATTTCATGTTACATTTCAGTCCCGAAAAGCTGGTCATGGTGGTTGTGGCAGATATCAGCCAAGCATAAGAAGATCTGGTTTAGATTTGACAGCAGAATGGAAGCATGTCAATGAAGATTCTCAAGAGAAAAAGATCAGCTTAAGTGCGGAACGTGTTTGGGAGATTTTGAAACACATTACTGACGAAGAATGTTTCATTCTTGGAATGGATCCCAAATTTGCTAGACCTGATTGGATGATTGTTACAGTATTGCCAGTCCCTCCTTTATCTGTGAGACCAGCTGTTGTCATGTATGGTTCAGCAAGAAATCAGGTAACGTTTTTTTCTTTGGTATCATGGTGTTTAATAATGATATTCAGGTTGTGCTTTTGTGAATGTGTAAATTTTAAATTGTCATTATTCTACTGTAAATTTGGGATGGGCACGTGCATAGGATCATATACATAACTCAAAAAATGGACAAATCTATCATAAAAGGAGAGATGCAAAGACTAGTTGTAATGAAGGCAGTGCATTGCATAGTTTGAAGAATGGCTGCTTTCAGTTTTTATTATGTGGTTTGGCAACACATTTTTTTGTTTGAAAATGTGTTGGAAAATAGGTGTTGCAAAGGTTGTTTTACGTAAATAGTCAAGACCAGAGCCTCCACACCCATCTTTGAAATGCATAGCAAAGCATCAGTCACCTTAAAAATATTTCAGCATAAAAATACATGGGAAATTAATGTAGATTCAGGTGCAATCAGATTACTGCTTCCTGTAGATAATAATAAATTGCAGCGTATTTAGACCATTTGTATATATTGTACCGTTTTTTATATATCCAGCAGTATGTGATGTTCTCATTGGTTGTTTTCTCTTGTTATGGAATTAATTGCCTGTTGTTTCCTATGAAAAGAGATAAAATGATGCATTGCATTGGCCAATCAAAGTTCAGGATTTGAAAGCTTTTAGAATTTACTAAGAATTCGTAAAGCAGAAATAATATTTAAATCTCATTTTCAGGATGACATTACTCACAAAACATCAGATATTATTAAGTCAAATAATGAACTCATTAGAAACGAGCAAGCTGGTGCAGCTGCTCATGTAATTTCAGAGAACATTAAGATGCTGCAGTTTCATGTGGCAACTCTAGTAGATAATGATATGCCTGGAATGCCAAGGTATATATTGCCTTTATTGTACTTTTATTAGTTCATTGAGATTTTGTTATATTATTATAATTTTATTTTATTATATAGAGCAATGCAGAAATCTGGAAAACCACTGAAAGCAATTAAAGCCAGATTGAAAGGAAAGGAAGGAAGAATTAGAGGAAATTTAATGGGGAAACGAGTGGATTTCTCTGCAAGAACTGTAATTACCCCAGATCCTAATCTCCGAATTGATCAAGTTGGAGTGCCTCGATCAATTGCTCAGAACATGACATTCCCTGAAATTGTGACTCCCTTTAATATTGATAAGTAAGTACTCAAGATTCAGCATCTATTTTTTCCCTAAATCAATTTTATTTCAAAATAATTGCAGAATAAATAATGCATATTATTTCATATAATTTTTTTCACTTCATTTGAAATTAAAAACAAAACAAAAAAATTAATATAAAAAAATCATAGCAGTATTCAAATATTTATAAAGGATGTGCTTAAATACTTTGTACAAACTCTGAAATAAAAGGAGACTGTGTTTACCAAAATGTTTTCAAAACTCGAGCTTAAATATTACGTAAACTAAATCAGATAGTGCACTTGGCAAATATTCTTGTTTAAATATGGAGCACTTCCAGATACCTGTGGGAATTGAGATTGATATTTCGAAATGGAAAAATGTGGAACTCATTATTCCAGACTAACTTTTCTTGAATTGATGATTCAACCTCAACAAACTATTTGATTGCATAGAATGGCTTTTTCTATGCCTGTTAATATAGTATTATTTTACAATGGTAGTATTTAGTGTATTAACAGCAAAGGGTAGTAAATAATCAATGTCATGAGCAAAGTTTACTTCATTATATGTTCACAGAATGCAAGAATTAGTGCGAAGAGGAAATTCACAGTACCCTGGAGCCAAGTATATTGTGAGAGATAATGGAGAAAGAATTGACTTGCGCTTTCATCCAAAATCTTCTGATTTACATCTTCAGTGTGGTTATAAAGTTGAACGGCATATTCGGGATGGCGATTTAGTTATTTTCAACCGGCAGCCTACATTGCATAAAATGTCAATGATGGGCCACAGAGTTAAAGTATTGCCATGGTCAACGTTTCGTATGAACCTTAGGTAGGTATAAAATTAATGCATGCCTCCAAAGAATTTAATTGAATGTACTTCAACTTTCATTGTATTTCGTTTTAGTTGCACCAGTCCCTATAACGCTGATTTTGATGGTGATGAGATGAACTTGCATGTTCCTCAGTCAATGGAAACTCGTGCAGAAGTTGAGAATCTTCATGTGACTCCTCGTCAAATTATTACTCCACAAGCAAATAAACCTGTCATGGGTATTGTGCAGGACACATTGACAGCTGTGAGGAAGATGACTAAGAGAGATGTATTTTTAGAAAAGGTACCTTCATTTGGGTGTTGGCAATTTTTATTAGATTTATTTATTAATATTTTGGTCTTCATTTATGTTTATTTGTTCGGCACAGGAGCAAATGATGAACCTATTAATGTTCCTTCCCATATGGGATGGAAAAATGCCTCAGCCAGCCATTCTGAAGCCAAAACCACTTTGGACAGGCAAGTTCTATTTAATTTTATAATGTAGGGAAATTTTAGTTATAGCATTTAGTAAATAACCTTCTTTTTTCATCTTTTAATATAATTTGTTTTCATTTGGTACAGGAAAACAAGTATTTTCCCTCATTATTCCTGGAAATGTAAATATGATAAGAACACATTCCACTCATCCTGATGAAGAAGATGATGGGCCTTACAAATGGATATCACCTGGTGACACTAAGGTTTGTGTTTATGTGATTAAAGACAGGTTGCACTTTGTTTTAAATCAAAATAATTTTGATTAATTAAAAAAATTAAGACCATTTAGTCCAATGGTTTTAGACATTTAGTACAGTTTTTACATTGTGTTGTGCAAATTTAGACATAATTAAGCAATCTTAATTCTTGGGTAGAATGTGTTGAAATTAAAAATAAACGAATCATGAAATTTGCTACAGGTAATGGTGGAACATGGTGAACTTGTGATGGGGATTCTTTGTAAGAAAACATTGGGCACATCTGCTGGCTCTCTGCTACATATTTGCTTTTTGGAACTTGGTCATGAGGTTTGTGGTCAGTTCTACGGCAACATTCAAACAGTCGTAAATAATTGGCTGCTGTTAGAAGGTACACCATGGTTATTTACTTTATTACTTCACATTTTGGTTTTGTCCTGTTTACCAGTAATCTATTTCTCAATTAATGCAGGTCACTCAATTGGCATTGGTGATACTATTGCTGATCCTCAGACATACTTGGAAATTCAGAAGGCTATTAAAAAAGCCAAAGAAGATGTGATAGAAGTCATCCAGAAAGCACATAATATGGAACTGGAGCCTACACCTGGCAACACACTTCGGCAAACTTTCGAAAATCAGGTAATAGTTTTTTATTTTTTTAAATTTTTTTTATTTATTATTATTATTATTATATATAACTTAGTTGTGAGAAATATCTTTAAGCAGCTTAATCTTGTAATTGCTGTTTTAAAGTGCAAGAATTGAGAAATCTTATATATATTTCTTAATTGCATTTTGAAGGGCAAGGCCATGTTAAGGTTTTGTTGAGAGTGGTGACTAGTACTTGGAGCTTAAGTGCTGTTGTTTGAATTGCAGAAGTCTAATTAATTTTGTTAAAATTGTTTGTGATGTAGTGTTTTAAAGAGCAGTAAAAGTAATCACTGGTGTGAACTTTTTGCCATTATGTGCCTTTTTAGAGACAAAACAGGGGTATGAGATGATTCCTGAAATGCAATTGGCACTGGTGTTGCCTAGTACAAGAAATGCCAGTGAAATAATACTGGTGTAACAAATTCAAAAAATTTTGATTTTAAGATAAATCCATTAAAATAATTATTTTTTATCTATAATAAAGTCTATCCCTGACATATCAACTACTGCTTCGTAGTAGGTGAATCACTATTTTATGGATGGAAATCACCATTTATTTTTATGGAATAATGTCAAAACATCCAGTTTTATAGATCAGTAAATTAGTACAGATAGTAAATTAAAAAACCAAGAGAAATAATATTTTTTTCTTACAACATTAATGTCTTAACAGGAAGCAAATAAAAAATACAGTGTCTAATGGAAATTGGTATTTCAGGTGAATCGTATTCTAAATGATGCTCGAGACAAAACTGGAGGATCTGCTAAGAAAAGTCTTACTGAGTACAACAATTTGAAAGCTATGGTGGTGTCAGGATCCAAAGGGTCTAACATCAATATTTCTCAGGTAAAAGGAACTTATGAAGTATAAACTTCTGTAATAATAATAATAACATTAATAATATTACTAATGTGATGATTTTGAGAATATAAGAAATAAAAAAAAAGTTTGCTTATTGATATTCTATTTATTGATCTTTGAGTGTTGAAAATATTTTGGAATATATTTTATATTTGTTCAAATAAACCTTTCCTAAAATTATGTCAACCTGATTTGAATTGCATTATGCATTATGTGCTCTTCTTTTTCTTCTCTTTTCAACCATTTGAAATTGCTGTATGTTTGTAACCAGTAAATTTATTTACTTGTTTGAAAATAGGTTATTGCTTGTGTGGGGCAACAAAACGTTGAAGGAAAAAGAATTCCTTTTGGATTTCGAAAAAGGACATTACCTCATTTCATTAAAGATGATTATGGACCTGAGTCTAGAGGTTTTGTGGAAAACTCATACCTGGCCGGTCTTACACCATCAGAATTCTTTTTTCACGCTATGGGAGGAAGGGAAGGTCTTATTGATACAGCTGTAAAAACCGCTGAAACAGGTAAAACTTGATTACATTTATTATGAATTTTGAAATCTATATTAAAATCTTCTTGAGATTCATTGAATGTGTTACTTTGCACTTAAGGATATATTCAGCGTCGTCTTATAAAGGCTATGGAGTCTGTAATGGTGCACTATGATGGTACAGTTCGTAATTCTGTTGGGCAACTAATTCAGCTACGTTACGGTGAAGACGGCCTCTGTGGTGAAACTGTGGAATTTCAGAACCTTCCTACGATCAAGCTGTCCAATAAGGCATTCGAAAAGAAATTTAAATTTGATCCAACAAATGAAAGGTTAGTGTGGAATACAAATGTTTGATTTAATAGTCTAGTAATAAACTTTAGTTAAAGCATTAATGTTCTAAACTTTCAGGCATTTACGACGTATTTTTAATGAAGATATCATGAAAGAGTTAATGGGTAGTGGTGATGTGATATCAGAGTTAGAAAAGGAATGGGAACAGTTAGTCAAGGACAGAGAAGCACTGAGGCAAATTTTCCCTAGTGGTGAGAGTAAAGTTGTATTGCCTTGCAATTTGCAAAGAATGATATGGAATGTACAGAAGATATTCCACATAAACAAGAGAGCACCGACTGATCTGAGTCCTTTACGTGTTATCCAAGGTAAGTTGTGGTTTATTTGTGTAGAAAGGGCATTTTTCAAATCTATTATTAAAATCAAAATAAGAAAATATGGAAAAAGAACTGTTGCATATAATATATAAGAAAGTAAATTTTCCTACAAATGTAACTTAATCATGATACTGAAGTATTGTAAACAAAAGTTAGGATATATTAACAATTGTGCACTAAATTTCTAGGGGCAGGACAATGGAAAGCAAATGCACCAACAAATGGGAATATTACTGTAGCACTAGCATCATGAAAATAATCATAGTACTCAAATATTGTTAATATATTCATTGCAGGAATAATATATTCTGGGAGCATTGGTGAAATATTTGTAAGATATGCTTGATAAATATTTCACTTGCAGGTGTGAATGATTTACTGAAGAAATGCATTATAGTGGCAGGTGAAGATCATTTAAGTAAACAAGCCAACAAAAATGCTACATTGTTATTCCAGTGTTTAGTTCGTTCTACATTGTGCACAAAATGTGTATCAGAAGAGTTCCGTTTATCTTCTGAAGCGTTTGAGTGGTTGATTGGTGAAATTGAAACCAGATTCCAGCAAGCTCAGGTTAGTGTCCAGGAATGTAGAAATTTTTATTTTTATTGATGGCAATTTTATCATGATTCTTTCAAAAAGTAAGTGCTTTTTGCGCTATACTCTGGATATATAACAATAAATCCACAGAGAATTGTAACTATATTTTCAAAATGGAAAATGGGTAGTTATTTGAAATTAGAAATGTGCGAATATCAAAAGTAGATTGAAATGCATGAACGATCGTTTTGGTTTTTCATTCTAGAGCATGTTTTCTGACAAACACTCATGACTTTCTTTTTTTATCTGTTAGTGTTGAACAGTTTCTTGCGTTATTTCATTTTATTTGTATGGGTTAAATCCACTTATTGATATAGTGAAGAGAAAAGTCAGTCTTAGTTCCAATGTTTTTTCTCCAGGTGAGCCCTGGTGAAATGGTGGGAGCTTTGGCTGCTCAGTCTCTTGGAGAACCTGCCACACAGATGACACTAAACACTTTCCACTTCGCTGGTGTGTCTTCAAAAAATGTAACACTTGGTGTGCCACGGTTGAAAGAAATTATCAATATCAGCAAAAAACCTAAAGCTCCTTCTCTAACAGTCTTCCTGACTGGAGCTGCTGCAAGAGATGCTGAAAAGGCTAAAAATGTCTTGTGTAGATTGGAACATACAACATTACGAAAGGTATTGAATATAATAATCGAGATCGAAATTTAATTGAAAAAACTGTTTAAGATTTAATTGAGATTTGTTTTTGCATGTTATTAAAATGCATTTTATTTTTGCTTAGGTTACTGCAAACACTGCAATTTATTATGATCCAGATCCACAAAACACAGTTATTGCAGAGGATCAGGAATTCGTCAATGTGTACTATGAAATGCCTGATTTTGATCCTACAAGAATTTCTCCATGGCTACTTCGTATTGAACTAGATAGAAAACGCATGACTGGTTAGTGAAAAGAGAATTCTCAAATATTTAGTTATGTTTTTGTAATTTATTGATACTAACCTATGTATTATGATGTTGATCGAAGTAATTGTTTTTAAATTACAGATAAGAAATTAACTATGGAACAAATAGCTGAAAAAATAAATGCTGGTTTTGGAGATGATTTGAATTGCATTTTCAATGATGATAACGCAGAGAAACTTGTACTTCGCATTCGAATAATGAATAGTGATGACAACAAATTCCAAGATGAAGAAGAGACTGTTGACAAAATGGAAGACGACATGTTCCTTCGTTGCATTGAAGCCAATATGCTTTCAGATATGACTTTGCAGGTATTTATTTCAATTTTCTCATTTAATCTCTGTGGTGGATAATGTTCTGATAATAAATAAATTAAAACTGATATTAACCTTTGTTTATTGCCAACCTTTCTGTTGTGAATTGCTTTTAAATACATATTTTTTGGTTTTCAAGGGTATTGAAGCGATAGGCAAAGTATACATGCATTTACCTCAGACTGATTCTAAGAAGAGAATAGTTATTACTGAAACAGGAGAGTTCAAAGCTATTGCTGAATGGCTTTTGGAAACTGATGGAACTAGTATGATGAAAGTTCTGAGTGAAAGAGATGTTGACCCTGTCAGAACTTTCTCAAACGACATTTGTGAAATTTTTTCGGTAAGTTGTTGATACGAAATATGTATGTGGTTCTAAAATTCTTTTTTTGTTCTTGAACATACAATCGGAACCATTCTGTTCATGAACACTGTATACTTTGTAGGTACTGGGTATTGAGGCTGTGCGAAAATCAGTGGAAAAAGAAATGAATGCAGTGCTACAATTTTATGGTCTGTACGTGAACTATCGACACTTGGCTTTGTTGTGTGACGTAATGACAGCAAAAGGTCATCTTATGGCTATTACTCGTCATGGAATAAACCGACAAGACACTGGAGCACTTATGAGATGCTCATTTGAAGAAACTGTGGACGTATTGATGGATGCAGCATCACATGCCGAAGTGGATCCCATGAGAGGTGTATCAGAGAATATCATTATGGGACAGTTGCCTCGGCTTGGAACAGGTAATTTAGTATCAGAATAGAACATTAAACATTTGTTGTTGACCCTAAATTAAGATTTACTGTCAATTTCCCCAATCTTTGTCAGTTCTCTTGACGTACATCAGATATGTGACTCCTTGATGTTTCATAGACACTTTTGTGGTGGAAATGTATGTTACTTTCAACAATTTGTCCACAAATGTTTTTTCTTCCTTGTATAGATATTGGCTACTTCATAGGTAATAAATCGGTTCCACTTTGCCTGCTGAATACTGGTGTGTGATCTACTAAAGCTTCTCAGTACTGTATATACTCGAATATAACCTGCACATTCTTTTAAAAAATTGCTAGTTGAAAATTTGGGGTGTGGGTAATATTTAAGTCAATATTGGTACCGTGAACTTGAAACGTGTTGCAAGTGCTCACATGGCAGTTTTGGTTGTACTTTGATTTTTAAACGTGGTGTATCAGATCCTGTCTTCATTAGGATATCTCAGGGCATTTTGAGTCTCTTTCGGTCATGGTGCTAAATGTCGTATGATCATGACAGTATCAAGCACTGGACAATGCAGTGACATGATGCCACTGTGAAGGTTGGCCTTAAGGCACATATTTATAGATATCACACTCTAACCAGTATTGTTCGGCAGGCCTTTCAAGGACAGAAATTTTTTGCAAAAAGAGAGGGTGCGTGTTGTTGTTGTTGGGTTTTTCTTTTCTTTTTTCTTCCTCAAGATTCTTTAACAGAAAATTAGGTTGCAGGTAGTTTTAGAGAATTTTGATGGATTGGCATCTGATAGGTTTGCACGTTTTGTGAGAAATACATTTTTTATTTCTTCAACTTTCTCATTCATTGAATATTTATACGTATTCACAAAATTGGCTGATGAGTATAGTAGGGAATTGGTGATAATAATTTCATATAATTAACACTTATACATTTAGACTAATCTAAACATTGGTTGAAATTTATGATTATTTAAATTTGAAGAACACATAGCAAGAACTGTAATGATTGCTTATTGCTTCTCTGACCTCCGCATACAAATGTTAGTGTCAAGATTAGTGGTGCATATAAGTTGTTTGAGGGCTTTGTGATGGGGAAGGATTTATTTCAATTTGTGAGGTATTTCTAATGCTATTCTGTTTCTTTCTCTACTGTCATGACCACTGCCTTCAATTTTGTTTGTTTCTGGTTATGATTTAACCTCGGCCATTTTGTAAAAATATATACAAATTGATATTTGGTATAATTTGGGCTTATTCTGGATCCATGGTTCAGGTATAATAAGTATTCAATACACAGAAGTTTGTCACCAAGTTATCTTCTATTTTTTCATCCTTATGGAACTTGAGCGAAAAATGAGAGAATTTTTCAAAGCCTGCATTTGATACAACATGCCTATTGAAAGGACTTTTTAACTATGATTGGATCGAAAGATACCTGTTAATCAAAATTTGATGAATGTCGGGACCGTAGTAACATAAATATCACCTTTCATGAGGTGTCAGTGGTTTGAGGTTTTTCTAAGCTGAGAATGGTGAATTCCAATGTTGTTGTTGTTTTTTGAGGGTGTGGGGACAAGCAGTCTATTTATTTCTCATTGAAACTGAGATGAATTGGTCTCTTTCCTGAAGGGAGGAAAAGTATTAATGGATGTGTTTTCAGCAATTGAAAACTCAATACTTGCTCAATACAATTTTGGAAACTCAGTACTTGTTTTCACCGAAATATGGATCATTAAGGTTCTCCCTCTTCCTAGTTAATTTCATGTTTTATCTCCCCTGAAAGTGAACTTAAAAGTTCTTTCTCCTCGCGTATGTTGGGTGTAAAAGGTAAAGTATGTAATAAATAAAATAATTTTAGATCATGTACACGAGATGAAGAGAGGAAATTTGTATATACGAATCTTGAGAATAAATTTGGTTTCATTGCCTCAAAACTTTGTTGTCCAAAAATATCAATGGAATTTTTTGATACTTAAAGAGAAATGGAATAAAATTAATCTGTTTTTGACAAAGATGACATTCTGAAACTCTTTAAGTTGTTCTATCTTTCGACAGGATTGTCAGATTGGAAAGAATTCACTGATTTATGCCTATCCCTGCATGTACTGCTTTATGTCTATCTTCTAAATATTGATTTGTCATGGTTGACTTTTATGAAAAGTAATTGTCTGGTTTTGCTCACTTTTTTAAAAAGCATTATAATATTTCATTTCAGTTCATTTATACTTGGTTGTTTTTGAGTTGAGGGGAGACGTAAAGCAAAAACGTAAATTTTTTACTCTGTGGATTTTAACATTTTCTAAAGATTTAGAGTTTTTGAATAAAATGATATATCATTGTGAAATTACTTAAAAAATTTCTACCAAGTTCTTCCTAAAATTTAAAAGAACTAGGTTGTAAACGTTTCTGAGATAATGGGTCAAATGTACAGCCTAATTAACACAGGAGAGATAAGGCTTTATGTTTCCCCTCAAGAGAAAGGAATGTAGGACAGAAAAGTAATCTTCAAGAATTGTGCTATCCAATTTTTGAATTGTTTATTTTAGGAGCTTTTGATCTTCTCCTTGATGCGGAAAAATGTAAAGCTGGAATTGAAATTCCAATGAGTGTTGGTGCTGGTATGATTGGAGGAGTGGGCATGTTCTTTGGAAGTGCAGCAACTCCATCTATGAGCCCACAGATGACTCCTTGGAACCAATCTGCCACTCCAGGGTACAGCAGTTCTTGGTCTTCACCAGGAAATGGTAAGCACAGGAGGAACTTTGAATTATTTTACTCTGCATTCATACTGTAACAGGTTCTCTTTGTGAAATAATTTCCTATGCATGTATGTTTGTTGACTTGAAATTAGTCATTGCCTGCTGAAGTGAAAAATTGTGTTGCAGTCTTTCCATTTTATTCAAATGAAGGAAATCATCATCTCATGTCTCACTAATGTAAAGCTGGCTGTCGAGTCTCGGTTATAATGGTACTATTGCCTTGTTCTTCATAAATTGTGAAGCTTCGTCTTGGTATTGTATCGAATTTTTAATTGTGAACATGTTTCCGTAAACAAAAGCAAACCACACCTGTGTTAGTGTTTGCTAGTGAGCTTATATTTAATGAAAGATAGGGTCAGAGGTCAAAGAAATAGTTGGGAAAGTCACTCAAATCACTCTTGTAAAAGAGCTATGGTTAGAAGAGCCAGAAGATTTCCAAAATTCAATGCACACATGATCTGACGTGTTTTCTGAACTCTAGCAATTGGAGGTGCCAAAATATAACTACATTACAAAACGGATATTCCCAAATGGGAAACAGTTGTAACTCTGAAGAGAGATTATTTCATACTGCAAGGAATTACTCCGCCATGGCATTAACCTTTTCGCTGCTCTGCACGCCTTATGGCGCGGCGCCGGTCTGTTTCTGGGAGCCTCTGGACGCCTTAAGGCGCGGCGACGTGATGTTACCTGCAGCCTCTGGACG